GGAAAAAAATCACTAATGAAACATGTTCCTTACTAAGTCAACCATAGAAAACAAATATGCCAATTGAGTTTTGGAAAGCAGAGACTTTTTCATGTACTTGATCAAAAAAGCATTATCAGTTGATAGGCTCATTACCTCATGATTATCAACTTACTCAAGCAAATGAAAAAACTATCATGAATACCTAGCAGTTGTGACAGATGTTAACAGAATTTGGCAAACACAGTTAAAACATATTGTCCACAAGCTTCTAATTTCTTTTTACAAACTGTTTTCACTTTACTGATATAAACTCCATGAATTTTCATGCTGTTTTTTTCTTCTTTGTTGTTTGAATCACTGTTCACTCCAAAATAATTCGTAGCTTTCAGACCTTGACAATTTAGATAAGGTGCAAATATTTACTTGACATAGATTGAGTGAAACTGAATGAGGATTTTTCTACTTCTAATTTTTCTGTCAATTTAGAATTGCTAAAATAGGCCAAAAGAAAATTTAGATAATATCATAAACTGTTGTATACTATATTTTAATGGATAACATATTATTTGAGTAGATATTAATTTTGTTGTCTTAAAGCAAACATGAGACAAATGTTTAGTCAAGCCTACACCAGATAAGGAAATTCTGTTTTCAATTTTCTTTCCCTTTTTAAAAATCTGATTTCTTATGTTTCTGCACAATCTTTATTTGAGACAAGCAAAATTGAAGAGGATAGAATAAAGGGAATAGGACTTGGATACATTTTAATACTTATGCATCAAATACTTCTGAGCACCTAATGTGGCAAAGAACAGGAGAGGAAACTTTGAATAAAAGTCAACCTCCTCACATAATTTGAAATGAATATGACAACTATCTTCTGTCAATATTTTTACTTTCAGATATTCATATTCTTTATTATAGTCAAATATAATTTAGATTGAGGTGATAATGTGTCTTTGATATGAACATAACATCTCTGCAATTGACAGTTTGTAGTTGCTATCAATCCTAACACAACAGAAGGGCCTCGCAAACAAAAACAAATGGTGTGATATTGGGTGCTTAAATGTAATATTAATTCTTCAAACAAAAAAACAGCAACAAAATCCCAACTCATAAAAATGTTTTAAAAACCAAAAAAGCAAATAACACTGAGTTAAACTTGAGTTAAACATCTAGAATTGTATATTTCTATCCATTGAATGAAACAAAACCAAATTAATTAAATATGTCATTTATTGCCTCTAGAAGAATCGATAATCAGTAGTACTTAAAGGTAGCTGTGCCATAATTGGTAATTAGGGTGTTTTTATATAGTCACGTCTAATCTTATGTAAATTTCTATGTAATTATATGGAATCAATAATGAGTATTTTATATATCTTAGGTAGATAACCACTCTGTTATTCTCCTCCATCATGGTAGATAGATCCATGTTAAAAAGCCAACCTCCTAACCATGATCTTTACCTTCTGGTGTTCACACATTTGTGTTATCACCTCCTCTTTAGTATGGGGAGCACCAGTGAGTGCATCTAACCAAATGAATCAGCAAAGCTGATGGAATTCCACTCCTGCAAGTATGTTACAACATATAGATGCTGTCTTGATAACATACTCACTAGGGACTCTTCTCATTTGACAAAGCACTGGTAATGCTCACATGGCAAAGAACTACGGGTGACTGGAATTTGTAAGGAGCCTTTAGCTGTTGATGAAGGATTTCCAGCTGACAATCACAAAAAGCCAGAGCCTTCTGTCTTACCATCAAAAGGAAATGAATTCTGTTTGTCACTTGAATGACCTTGGAAGTACATTCTTTTCTGTAACCCTCCAAATAAAAGTCAAGATTGAAGTTTTGTTAAATCCTAAGCAGAATACTCAATTAAACTGTCTGCACCATTGACTCAGAAATTTTGAGATAATAAATCTGTGTTATTTTAAGCCACTAAATTTGTGATGATTTTATGTATAACAATAGAAGTAATTAATGTTCCAACAATTCTGCAATCATTTTCTAATAGGTGTAGCAATGTCTATAGATAAGGCAATGATTCATTTTTGCATTGAACAAATATCCTATTGCCAAATATTGTTCTAGATATTAAGGACATGATAATAAACCCAAATGATGAAATTCATATGTTTTAATGGTGAATATAAGAATTATATTTAAAGTTGTAGAATAATTAGTTACAATTATATTAAATAAATAACGAGTGATAAATGTTGGTCAGAAAAATTAGGAAATGCTCCCTCTGTGGTGTGTTGGTAATAGGCTCTTGGCAGTAGGAAGGGGAGTGTGGCCTGATTTGTACCCTTTTGGCTGTTTCTGTGGAATAAATACTACCAAGGTCAATTTTAAGATTCTGTGATGTCATCAAACACAGAGATAAGAAAATAAGCACAGTTTGCTTTGCAACTCGGTACTGGCAAGCCTCAGCATGCCACTAGTCTTCCGGAGAGAAGCAACAGCTGGACTAAAGTGGGGAACAATGAGGCTGCCTTAACAGTTCTAGCCATGCAAAGCTTTTTGGAAGAGTAGCCAGAATACACAGGTTGTGAATCTGGAAGTGTTGCTTTGTTTGAAGAACTGAAAGAAGAATTTGGATGGAGTTCAAAGGCCAAGCAAAAAGAAATTTAAAAGGAGAGAGTAGAGAATCAAGAAAAGATCAGACATCCAGGCATCATGGAACACAACTATAATCCCTGTACCCTGGTGGTTGAGGCAGCAGAAGTTCAAGTTTAAGGTCAGCCTGGCCAGCCTGGGCTACATAGGGTGACCCTGGAGAGGGGGAAGGAATAAGGAAAAGGGGAAGGAGTAAAGGAAGGGGAAGAGCAAGGCAAAGGGGAGGGAGCTGTCACATTGTTTAGAATCAGCAAGATATTAGGGATTGTTCTATTATTTGTGAACATAAGAGTAAACCAGAGACAAGAAGTCCTTGCTACAGTTTTGGAGTGTGTCCTAATAGCAAAAGGAAAATATGTATTTTAGAAGATAGTTTATCTTTAGATAAATTCATTTATGAAACACATACAACTATTTATAGGGAAATCAGTATAGAGACTATTATATGTCAATTTATTAATAAAATAACTATTTTCATCATGATCATTTTGAGATTAATTTAGTACATACACTTATCAAGAAAGGTGGGACATAGCACTCAAGGTATTTTAAGAACTTTTGCTTCTACTTGCCCTTCTTTTTTCTTATTGTTCTATAAAGTAGAAGGAAGGGATGGGTGATAGAGATGCAAATTTAGAGGCACTCATCATATGAATGGTGTTGGAAGTCACAGAAGACAAGAGTGGTAGGGAGTGATAATAGAAAAAGGGACCATATAGAAGTCACAATGAGTCTCAAATTTAGACAGACAAGAAGCAATGAGCCTTTGTCCTTTGGCAGAAGACATGTTATAAAGTACAGAAACAGCAGGTTCTGTCTGCAGAACTATGTTGAGCTCACACCTGTGTTACAGAATTCATTTCTAAGGTCATCATTATTAAAAGTATGTAGAAAAACTGGATATGGTTCAGAGAAAAGTAATGAGGATGATTAAAGACTTGAGGGTGACAGATTTATGAGAAAAGATTAGAAACAAGAACATGTTTCAACAAAAGCCTCAAGACAATGAATCTAATTAATATCTTAATGTTTTAAAACACCAGTAAACAGAGGAGGAAAAATAATTATTGACTCCATATTAAAAAAAGAAAGAAAGCTTTAGTCTCATTCCAAATACTAGAAAAAGATATTCTGATATTGGAAATATTTATTTTGTGAAATTCTGCAGAACATTTCTGTGTGGATAAAAATCATGCATGTGCGCGCGCGCGCGCACACACACACACACACACACACACACAGTGAATAATATCCAGAAGTCTTCAATTCCAAATAAAATAGAATTTCCAGTATAAGAGAAATTCGAATTCTTTTCACTGATATATCATCAATATTTGGAACAATGCTTAGCATACAGATGGTGTTAAATGAATATGTGCAAATATTTAAAAAATTGTGTTCAACATGAAAACCTTAAGATTGTTTCATGGAGTCAAGTATTACATAATGATTATCTATCTACAGTAAATATAACCAAATTGAGGCTGAATCAGCTATTGTTCACAATGCTCTTGACTCATTTACTTCAATAGATTTGCCACAGAGAAAAAATTAGATTGCATTTTAAATTAATATTTTAATTATTAATATAATCAAATATTATTGTCTCAAACAATATTTTACTATCTTAATAGAAATTCAGCTATAACAAAAATACAATAAAATATAGCATTTTTTTCTTGAAATTACATTATTTTAAGACACATTATTCCTTTATTACTCTTGATATGATTTAAAAAGCATATCAAGAGCATCAGATTATAAAATATTATATTTTCTTCCTGTCTGGGTGTTTCTAAATTGAATAACTATCATTTTTCAAAATTGACCTAGATTTAGACTTTCATTTCTCTCTTAAATTTGATGCAACTGATCAGTCTGATTCTACTTGAACTGGATTATATTAACTGTGAGGTTGTTTTTTGATAAAAGACACTATTAAGGAAAACCAAAAAAAGCAAGTATTGAATTTTTAAAAATTAGGAATTTTCCTAACTGCTATTTTAATTTTGCCTTTTAAATGTTTTATTTTGATAAAACATAACATTTATTATATTGTCTTCTGAAGTTATTAAATGATCTACATACTTACAATCATCAGTTATTTAAAAAATACATGTTTAAAATAAACCAGTGAGTTGCAGACTATTTTATAATAATAAAAATTTATATTAATAACAATTATTGCTAATTATTAATGGTTCAATGCCATTTCTTTCCAACAACCAGTAATAACTAAGGTAACATATTTTGTCAATTCATCACTAAAATAACTTACAAATTTGAAAGTATGAATCATCTTCTATTGTACAATGAATTATGTACTCATGAAACAGATGTCAGAATCAAAATTAATGAGGCAATGACAAAGTAGAAGTAGCAATTACCTTATTAGAGGCAAATTCTCATTAATGTGATGTGCCATCTTGGTTTAATTTGCACAGTAGGTCAACAAGAGAGGAATCTTCAAAGTGGTACTAGGAATGCTTTTCAAATGTTATAAGCCCAGAATAACTCTGACAACAAAACCTAAAGAAGAGAAAATGAGGAAAAAAATTAAAGCCACATATCCCTATGTATATAAAGACAAAAAAAATTCCTACATGTTATTGGTAAGTGAAATTCAGCAATGCATAAAAATATATTTTGATCAAGTAATCATTCTATAAAAGTAAAATTGGTTTAATGTTTCAAATTTAACCAATTTAATTCATCATAGGAATAGGATAAAGGAAAATAAAATCATGTAAAACTCTAATAGTTGCAATAAAATTAATAAAATTAACATTGACTTAAAAGTTAAAATATCAGAAAACAAAACACAGAATTTGCTCATTCTGCTAATGTTCATCTAAGAACAATCTACAGAAATATTATACTTAATTATGAAGTATTGAACTCTTTTCTTTAAATATTAATGAAAAGGTGAAGGTTTCTGTACTTACAACTTCTATTCATCATTTGAATGGAAGATTTAGTCAATGAAGTGAAGGAAGAAAAATAAATACAAAGCTTAAATATTGGAAAAGAAGAAATACTTCTCTATTTATGAATGGTGTGATTTATTTTACATGGGAAGCAAAATATATTTATAAAAATCCACTAAAATGAAAATAACTTCATATAGATTACAATAATGATTATAGAAATTATTTTTTATTTCTGTATATAAGCAAGTTATTTTAAAAAGAAACTTAAAATTACTTTAAAAATATCACAAAAAAATCACAAAATATATTTACTAATGAAATCCATATTAAACAAACACTACAAACTTTATGGCAACTACAGACATTAGTGAAATTAAAGAATCAAATAAATAAAGATATTCCATGCCCCTAATTGAGAGACTACTATTGAGATTTCAATTTTCCCCAAATTGATAATCTCAATTAAAATCCCAAAAGACTTTTATTGTGGAAATTGACAACTTCTTAATTTATTTTAAAAATTCACAGGAAATAGAATACTTTGAATACTATCTTTAAAATGGACAAATTAGAAAATTTATGCTAATTAACTGACTTACTAAAAGTCTACTGTAATAATGACAATTGGAATTGCCATAAAATACAGAACTAAGTCTATGGAAAAATAAAGAGTTCAGAAATAGACACACATGTACAGAGTTGATTGATTTTTAACAAGAGTTTGTAGGCAAGTCAATGGAGAAAAAAGACCTATTTAACATACAATGTTCGAACAATTGAATGCAAATAAAAACCAATATTTAACCTTTTTAAAAATTTTTCTTCCTTCATTTCATTATTGTAATTTATACAATATTTATACAATGAAATACTAATACAAATGGAATAGTAACAGAAATTCATGAGCTACAACATGAATGTTTTAAAAACAATATTTTCTCTGTGATTTCATTAATGTAAATTCAAAAAGTAAGCAAAACTAATATTTACCTGTAGAAGCAAGAATAAAAACTGAGCATCTTTAATTTGAAAATTCAAAATCAGAAATGCTCCAAAATCTGAAACTACTGGTCGAAACTTCCATTTCTGACCTCATGTGATGGGACATAATAAAAAAATACCTTGTACAAAATTATGTTCAGGCTCTGAGGTGTATGTGAAAACATAAATAAACTTCATGTTTAGACTTAGCCATCCCAAAACATCTCTATGTGTATGTTAATATTTTTAAATCCCAAAAGATTCCCAATCTGAAAGACTTCTGATTTCAAGCATTTTGGATAAATGATAGTCAATCTACAGCTTACCTGTTTGTGTTATATTTTTGTTTTTAATACTGAGTGGGAATTAACTGAAGGGACACACAGAAACTTTTTCTGGTGATAGTAATATTCTGAGTCTTTACTACAATATTGCTGAGTCAAAATGGTATGCTATATTTGTCTTACATTGGCTTGCTTCTGAGAGCTGACTGTTCAAATTTCAGAAATTTTGTGAGCTGATTATCAAACTGTTAATAACTTGAAATCAGAACTGTTGGAAGATTTCCCCTAAAAAGTAGTAAGCACTGCAAATCAAAGATTTGTTGGTTTGTTTAGTTTTGTTCTTCCAGACAGCATTTATTAGTCCACCACTCTGTGAGTGTATGCAAATTACTCAGCATGTAAAATCTTCTGCATCCTTCTAAGTAGATTTTACTTTTACTTTTACTTTCAGAACTTTACTTTCATATGAAAAACATATATACACAAATTTTCAGTTTATGTTTTGTTAGAATTTGTTTTACTTTGACTGTTAGTGTTTTGTTTTACTGTTTTGTTTTATGGAAAATGAATTCTGCTACAATAATAGTATTATAAAATATGTGCTGTTGTTATCAGGTAGCCTGCTTCTAAAGCTGGCTCGCCAATTAAACGCTACTAGGTTCTGAGTTGCTCGCCTCTCCTTCTGGAGTTAGATGCCAGGTTTTTCTCACCTTGAACAAAGAATTGAATGAAATGAGCAGAAGCAATGAGAAAGTTTATTCAAGAAAGTAAAGTGAAGAATGTGAGAGTTACTGGCTCTTCAGAGCAAGCTTGGGCTGAGTAAAGAGAAAAAGAGGGTTAGAGCAAAAATAAACGTATATTCTGTCTCTGGGAAACACAGCGTGGGGTATCATGGAAAGTTACAATACCAAGCTTTTCATGGCATCTCTGCGTCCAAATATAAAGGAAACCCGCAAGAACGTCTACATATGTGTCCTGAGAGATGGTGCTGGGATCTCGTGTCTCAGGCTGACTTCAGGTCTAGGCCAAGCAAATTGAAAACCTGTTAGAGTTCTCCTGACGAGTCCATGTGTAGAGCTTTAGGAACTGTTTTGTGCATGTGTCCATGATTTTGTAATTCACAGGTCACACTCTCTTCTCCAGCCAGCTTTGCCACACCCTAACCTCCTACCTCACTGGAAATTATACTATTTGGGTTGAATATCAGCTGCAACTCTTACTAGCCTTGATACCTCAGATAAGTCACCTTAGCTAAGTCTCAGGGTCTTTTCTGAACATTTAAATAAAAATATTACTTACTTTATAAGGTTATTATGAGAACCTAACACACATGTAGTATTTAGATCAGATTTTATAACATGTTTATCACCCCAAAATGTAAGTAGATGTTATAAGTATCAGCTGATAGATTGCTTTTTATCATTATATATTCTTTACATTAATCATACTTTTGAATATTTCATGTGGCCAGAATAAACCTAAAAATAGAAGTTCAATAAATATAAAACAAATTAATGCATTGTTGCCAAAAATAATATGGCTACTAAGAATTCTACAGCAACTTTGTATTTTAATAACAAACATTTTTACTTGTTTCTGGGTTCTTGGTTTTTCCTTTAGTGATTCTCAATTGTAATTAAATTTATAATTATCCAGATAAACATTTTAAAAATTTTGACCCTATGTTCTTTTAATATAAATACTAAGCCAAAAAATAATTTTTATTGTTTTTTACATGTATCATAACAATAACCCCCATATATGTGTGGCACAATTCAGCTAAATAGCCAAACACTAAGTGACTTTGGATATCTCAAAAGACAGGTTACAAATCTCCCATGATCAATGTGATCATTATGTATTTTCAACATCTACTAATAAAAAATAAAGATAAAAGAGACAATTTTTATTAGTACAGGAAGCTACTGTGGGCAATAATAAATCAGAAAATTTTTAAAGAAGCAAAAGGGATTTATTAGGCAAAATTTATAAATATGCATTCAAAGAAACAGAGTGCAGGTCAGATCCTCAAGAAAAGATACATTATAGTAAGGAGTTGGGAATATTTATGTGTTTGGGGAAGTTGAAGTTCTGGGATTTGTGAATCTGTAGAAAGACTGGACTTGGTTTACATGAGAAAAAATGAGCCACCCACAGAAATAAAGATAATGGTTCATTTCACAGGTTAACAGGAGAAAGGCAGGCACCCAGTCTATTGTACTCCTTAAAGTCAAGTTTCTGATCTTTACCTTATCAACTAAGCTAATTTATGGACTTATAGTATCTTTAAGAGATGTGGGGTGTAATGGGCATGGAAGAAAAGCAGCATAAACAAACTTAGAGAGTACAAATATGGATAAACTTGAGTAATTGACTGTGTCCTAAGTTAAAGTCTCTTAAAATAACCATCTTGAAATTATGAATTATCTCCTTCAAACCTATATTTATTTCTTCTATCTTATCGCATCCCCTCCCCCACTTCTGAGACTTTGATCACTATTCTTAAGGATACATGGATAGAGGCCAAATGTCTGACTTCTCAAGTCTGCTTCAGGCTGAGGAGGAAGGCTGCTCCTGCCTAGCCAGGGATCAAAAGTCTCAGTCTGATTCATCTAAAGGAGTCAAAAGAAAGATTTTATTGCTTGATGAACCATCCATCACCCTTTGATAGTTTGGAAAAGAGGACAAGAATGTTAGCAAGTCATTGACCTTTAAACTTTTTTTAAAATCATGTTAATCAAAGGGCCCCAAAAATAAAAATGGAATATTGGTAAAAAATAATGACTCCAAAAAGTAGAAGTCAAACAAAATTAGGCAGCATTTGGCATAAGCCTTTTTATTTTTAATATTAACCTTTATATGCTTGGGTGTCTTCCTAAGTACAATAGGTAAAGTTAAAGAGTATACAGATTCCTCCCTCCCTGTTTTGTCAATAAGAAATCCTTCCATTTTAGTTATAACAATGGCCAAAGAATAAAATAAATAAAAATTTCTACATTTTGTCACCCCAGGCCATTACAATTCTTACTACTGGGGTAGAACCTAGGACCTGGCATCTATTTTGAGGACCTGAAGATTTTCTGTAATGATTGGCTCTAGATAATATATATATATATAATTTATATATATATTTTTATATATATACATATATAAAGTTCAAAGTAGATAACAGACTTAGGTTATACCATGAAGATAACAAAGTTTTGTAGCTAGAATATTTACATTGAGATTTTTATCCTGTATGCGTACCTATTCAAGAAGCCAAATCTTTATCTGAAGAGAACTTGAAAGTACATTAAAATAACATAATGGCAA